GTACATTTTGCATGTGTGTCTTTTTGTGTGTATCTGTGTGTCTGTTTGTGCATATGTATGTGTATCTGTGTGTGTGTATCAGTGTTTGTATCTGTATCTGTGTCATTCTGTGTGTCTGTGCATCTAAATGCGTGTCAGTCTGTGTATCTGCTTGTCATTCTGTGTATCTGAATGTGTGTCACTCTGTTCATCTGAATGTGTGTCATTCTGTGTATCTGTGTGTTTATGTATCTGTGTGTCTATGTATCTGAATGGGCGTCAGTGTGTGTTTCTGGGCGTCTGTGTACCTGTATGTGTGTGTGTAACTGCATGTGTGTCAGTGTGTGCCTGTGTATCTGCAAGTGTGTTAGTTTGTGTGTTTGTATTTGCATGGGTGTTAGTGTGTGCATCTGTGAGTCTGTGTAGCATTTACTAAACTTTTACAACAGCACATTAAAACAAACAACACTACACACAAATTCACCCCTACATTCACATACTCCATACAACACATGCTTACATTCAAACACACACTAACAACTGCACTGTGCTAAATACAACCCTGCAAGGATAAGGGCAAATTGTACATCCCTAGCTGTCAAAGCATTGTTGGAGTTGTACGACGTATGGGAATATACCTTGTGGCGATCCTTGCGATAGGATGGTGGTCCCTAAAAAAATTCTTGCACCAGGGCCCTGCCATTGGTACAAACTCTAAAAAGGACAAAAAAAGGATAAAATAGACCATCATAAATTACATTTAAATAATCCAGTGGTTTGTGCCTGCGCATGTCCCAAATGCAAAAGTTGTCCACAAAAAGTGTGAATCAATGATACATCTGCAGTTAGCATGATATCTACTATTAACAGCAACGGTTATTGTTCTTTTCTAATATGTGGCAAGGATAGTGCAGTTTTTCCCCTGCATTTGGAAAGATAATAATAGTAAATAACAGAGGGAAGGAATTTAAGAGCTTTTAGAATGCTTTAGGTACAAACAGTATAATAAACTAATCACTCAAGTGTCATAATGTGAATTATAACTTGCAAAGAGTAAACTCCATTAAAATGTAACCAGGACAGCATAAAGCATTGTAGTCATAAATAGGCAGTTCAGTTAAAAGCTTAGAGTAGATATTACATTCCAAAAGAAGGATCTATCTAAAAATATAAATAAATTATGGAATCATGTGACATTATAAATTGCATCAAAAGGTTCTTTGTTAGAGCATTTTTTAATCCAATTTTTCCTTGAAAGATTACATAATGTTCTACAAAAATTGCAGAGAATTAAAATGTTTTACCATTCTTCTCTCTCCATTTTTTTAGCTATTTAATTTTGTTCTATAGATTCACTTTTTTGAATACCTTGTTATCTCCTACTTTTAAATACTGGTTAATAAAAGAAAACTCGCTTTACTTACAGTGGAGTATAGTGGGAAGGCAAGTGAATAGCAATATCTAAGATAAATGATGGTTATTTTATCAACATTTTCCAACCTACTTGTTAACTCACTGCAACATACTGTTAAGTGAATACACCTACAAATCAAGCACATTAGCATCACTATTTACTTTATAAAATTTCAATATAATCAAAACAGTTCAGTCTTGTGTTGGGACGGAACGTATATGTTGTTAATTGCAAGGACTGTTAATATAACACATGATCGTGTAGTTTTGTTCCTATGCTTTGTGACCTATTCACTAAAAATCTAGCTGTTGTGACTTGATAACTGACAAATTATATGTCAAAACAATAGCTGTGAAAAATGTCAGAATGTCCAAATGGGTTAAAAAGACTGGTTAAGAGACATTTACAGGGACAGTCAGATACTGCCTTAGCATGTATAAACGATGATATGAATTTTGAGGAGTCCAGCTATGAAGCACTTATTTTGTAAGGAAATCACCCCATTCTGCATTATCGGACACTCGGTGACCCTGTTTGTCAGTTGTACAGTGGTTTGTAATTGTTTACATTCTTCCACAGTTCTAAAACTGCTTTAGGAAAGCACTCATCTCGGCCCGAACATACTCACACAAACATCTAGCCAGCACACACATGGACACATATCATATCCATATCTCTCTGATTATGTCTGCCTTTATACCTTTTTATGTCTCCTAATCACATCCCTTTTATATAGGCTCCTTTATCTATTATATGTATTTTTACACTTATTTTTACACACATATATATAGATATATATATATATATATATATATTAGCCTTGAAAAAGAGAAATATATATATTGAGAGAGAGAGAGATTATTAGATAAGATTAGATTATTTTGCCACTTAATTAGCTATTTGCATTGTTCCTTTCTACAGATTGGCCTTCTGTGTCTCATATCATTCAATATAAACTTTATGTATGTAGCAGTCATATGCTGCACGACAATAGTTTTTCAGTGATAATATAGGCTTGTTTTCACACTAGGATTATCTATATCTTTTGCCTACAATACATATTACTTGTATTTTCTTTGAGATATGTCTTCTCTATTGTAATCAGCGTATTTATTTGTTTATAGTGTCATCATGCTTTGACCATTAGATTGATTATTGTAACATGCAAATTGATTCATGTTCCATGTTCTAGCACATTGTACTTTCTAGCTGCAACCTTGTTATATATGTATTATGTTTTATTTATCTAAGTACGTTAGACTCTTCTTTGAGTGGACTCCACATGTTCATTTCACTTAGTCACCATGCATGAGATTTACGGTTGATCATTTTATTCTGTCCCGCAGTACATTTTTTTCCCATTCACTGGTTTCTAGTCTACTCTTGTTTATTACTTATTTTAAACTGACACTATTTGCCATGATCATTGTTTTAACACCATACAGATAATCTCCCTCCATAGTTGTCTTCTTACACCCGAGAGCTATTTTTTTCACAGTTTTGTGTACTGTAACTATGGTAACCACACAATCCCCGCCGTGCATCCAGATGGCGTGACCTCACTAGCGGCTCTCTTTCACTTCCGGGTGGTAACGGGCAGAGACACTTCCCTTCACTCCATTGATTGGTAAGTGTAACTTTTCATATTTCACATATAAAAGCACATCTATGATTTGTATTCAGTGATCTTGAAAAAGACCCGGCAGGATTGAAACGTCAGTCGATTTCTGTATACATCCTATGTATCAATAAAGTACCATTTTTCATCAATTTGAAGACCCGTGAGTGCATCCCGTTTTTGATTTTTCTATATATTGGACATCAGTGGATATAGCACCCAGGCAAGACACTTCTATATTCATTGTAAGGAGAGTGGCAAGCATCTACTTTTCATTTTATATTTATATATACTATTTTAATATATCTTTTATGGACTTTGAAACAAATTACTCCTGTTGGTTATATTATCTGTATTACCTTTTCTATATAAAATGTCTTTTACACTCCTGTTTCTGTTTTTGGACATAATAAAATATTTACAAAAAATGTGAGATACTGTATGTCTGGTGCACCACAACTTACCCATTTTATGCTAAGTGTACCAATAGTGATGTCCCGAACGGTTCGCCGAACGGTTCGCGAACGGTTCGCCACGAACGGTTCCCCGCGTCTCATCATTGAGTAAACTTTGACCCTGTACCTCACAGTCAGCAGACACATTCCAGCCAATCAGCAGCAGACCCTCCCTCCCAGACCCTCCCACCTCCTGGACAGCTCACTAAGAATGCAGCTTCACAATGAATGTAAAATGGATGCTGTCCAGGAGAAAAACAGAATCAAATCTGGTTAGATAATGAAATGTACTGTGAATAAAACATGCAGGCCCCTTGTGTATCAACCAATATTACCAAAATATACAGAGATTCGAACCTTTAAATAAGTAGTGGTAACATGAACCAGTGACAGGGAGCCGGAAGAACAAGCAGAGTTGTATACATACCTGGTTACCCAAACTACTGGCAACAAACCAAACAAGGGAGGGATGAAAAATGGGAGGGAAATACTTGTCTCCTGTCATTAATAAAATTAAGGTTATAGGTACACTAAAGCTGGTATAATCTACAATTTTATAACATGACAGGAGGCTTCGTATTTGCTGTTTTAACGCTCAGACAACAACTAGAATGATGCTTATGTCGCTGGTAAATAATCTGGGAGATCAATAAATGAATCCAAAAAAAGACCTTACAACTGCAAGAAATGGCTGTAGATTGGTCGAAGAAGGTGACAGTCGTTGATGATCCGCAAAGGGCGGACGAAAACTCAATCCATGTATAGAGTCGCTGTACTTGGGAAACCGTGGCACAGTTCCGTCAAAACGGTCGATGTATAGTAATGTTGAAACATAATCCATACACAGCCAGACGTCATAGTTTGAAGGGCACCGTATTCGAATCTTAATGTAGTAGGCGGCTTCTCCGATCATCCAAGGGTCGTGCCCGCAATTCTCCAATCTCAAAATCCGCATATTTATGATAAAGTATGGGACAGGACCGAATGGAGTCCATCCGTTCCCCTTTGATCTAAGGGCTGAATGGTCTTCATCCGAGAAAAAATCTACCACATGGGCTAGTGTGCGGAGGGGCACCCAGTCGCACTCTAGATGTCTCCAGTACTCCAAGCGGATTGAGGAACCCGGGACTCTTAAGGGCGCCTCAATCAAAAAAAAACAAGAACCCCACTCGAGGGGCGAGGTGAGGATTGAGTTCCTAGGTAGACTGTGAAGCCTCGAAATACAAACAAGGGGGGCGTAAATAGAGGTTGAGATTTGGGTCCGAAAGCGTTATCGTAGAAGAATGATAGCAATCCGGTTTAATGAAGTAATCGGGGTATTAAAGATAAGCCGTCACTGGTTTTAGCCGCTTGGTGGATCACCAAGGGTCGAATTTGAATCGAAGGGTATACAGGTGGACCAGATGTAGCCGGTTGTTCCACAGGGGGTGCAGCAACTTTGGCAAATGAGTAGTATACAGAATCTGGGGGTTTATGGCAGTGTGTAAATTCGTCCAATAACATTGAAAATGAACAACAGACTCGGTCCATGTTGGACAGGGTCCGGATTTCGGAGTCTACCCCTGGGACTGCTGTCCATATAGGGCGAGAGTGGAGTAGACCGAATGGCTGGATTGTACCACCCAGCTGAAGTTCAGCCCCATCAAGGAAACCCGAGTAGGGCCCGTTGGGACGTTCGTTAGTCTGAAGATAGGGTATAGTTGAGCGGATCATCTAGTTCCATGCGATCGTTAAATTCCGAAGCTGGTTACCCACCGGAATAGGCCCTCGGTCCAGGGACCTAGTTCTATGGCATCAATACGAAGATGAAAAACAAAAAACAGCTAACTTCGTTCAGTGCACCATGACATTTTAGCAATGCCTAGTATGCATAGAGAACGTAAGTCCCCTTCACTAATGACAGACATATTCAGGGTGCAGTTTTGTGACAGGATGTCATCCATCCAAGGCAGGAGTCGTGCCGAGGTTTGAGAACTTCGGATGGCCTATCCTGAGCATACGCAGGTATTGATCAATACTGTAGTGAAGGTCGTGCCCCGACTCAGCGAAGTCAGTGTTGGCCCTGATTTTGAACTCTGGGGTCATTGTGACCTAATAGGGTAGCGATGGACTGGGGCACACCGTTTGCCATCTTTCATGCGCTTCCTGGGTTTGTGAACTATGAGTTCCATAGAGGGTCGAATGAGCAGGGGTTAGTTGTCGATGACCTGATGTGACAAATGGAGTTTGGATAGAATCGGGGTATCCCTCACATGAACCCATACCACTATCATTGCCGGTACCTGCAATGAGTGGCAGGGCGGAAGATAAATCCAGGATGGCTTCGTGAGTGAATCATGTGCGGAGGGAGGACCCTCCACAACCGAATCTTGTTCTCCAACTTCAACTTCAGAGGTCCACCTGTCACTTCTCCCAAAAGAGCAAATAGGTAGGGAATGCAGTATGGGCCCGGGGCTCTGGTCTGTTCCCACGCCTAGCGTGGAGAAATGAGTCGACCCCATTCCAGTAGTGTTTGCGAGAAAGTGTATGTCAGCTCTCAAAGGCATCAGCATCTCTTGCTTCATCCAATATGAGAGGCTGTCTGAGGAGAATGTCCATAACGGCATAAATAATAATAGCATAGTGAGATTGCCTGCTCAATGCAAGGTATGTTATAAAATGGCATATATATCTGAAATATCTGGGACTCCCCAATTCAGAGTAAAAACCTCCAGTAGTATATCAAATAGGGAGGTACAGTGGCACCGACACAGTGAGCCAATCATAGGAGCTGTAACAGCGACAGCCAGATCAAACAGCCTGTGCTCTGCCCGATAGGGTACCAGGGAGAGCTATAAACTTGTGGGAGGTTCTTCCCCGTAATACCGCAGAGGTTATATCCAAGCAGCATCGGGATGAGATATGAGCGGGGTTCACCTACTATTAGAGAGATTAGTATCGATATCAGTAGCGACCATGCTTGTGAGAGGGCCGCACCCTCTAATAATGTAACCATCACAGCATCCGGCTGCGTTCATGAGAGGGCCGCACCCTCTAATAATGCAAATCATCTCCATAACAGCAGCAGGCTGAATATATGAGAGGGCCGCACCCTCTAATAATGCCATTCGTCTCCATATCCGCAGCAGGCTGAATTTACGAGAGGGCCACACCCTCTAGCAATGGAATTGGTATCTCCATCAGCGTCAGGCTGTTTCTATGAGAGGGGCTCACCCTCAAATAATGTCAGTATCAATATCAGCGTTGAACTGGATAATGAGAGAGGTTCACCCTCTAATAGAGAAACTAGCATCGATATCATCAGCTGGCCGAGTTTACGAGAGGGCCGCACCCTTTAGTGATGAAATAAGTAACCATCACAGCATCCGGCTGCGTTCATGAGAGGGCCGCACCCTCTAATAATTTAATCCGTACCCATATCAGCATCATGCTGAGTTTTTGAGATGGCCGCACCCTCTAATAATGTAATAAGAATCCATATCAGTATTAGGCTGAGTGCTTGAGAGGGCCGCACCCTCTAATAAGGTAATAAGCAGCCATATCAGTAATAGGCTGAGTGTATGAGAGGGCTGCGCCCTCATATAATATAATTAGCAGCCATTTCCGTAGTAGGCAGAGCGTATGAGAGGACCACACCTTCTAATATGTAATAAGTAGCCATATCCGTTGAAGGCTGAGCTTATGAGAGGGCCTCACTCTTTAATAATGTAACTAGCAACCATCTCAGCATCAGGCTGAGCTTATGAGATGGGCTCACCCTCTAATAATGTAATTAACATCAATTAACACCTCTCCAAAATGCCAGACACTGTTGAATGTGAGCATTTGCCCACTCAAGTTGGTTACAACGACGAACTGCAGTCAGGTTGAGACCCCAATGAGGACGACGAGCATGCAAATGAGTTTCCCTGAGACGGATTTTGACCATTTGTGCAGAAATTCTTTGGTTATGCAAACCGATTGTTGCAGCAGCTGTCCAAGTGGCTGGTCTCAGACAATCTTGGAGGTGAAGATGCTGGATGTGGAGGTCCTTGGCTGGTGTGGTTACACATGGTCTGCGGTTGTAAAGCCAATTGGATGTACTGCCAAATTGTCTGAAACGCCTTTGGAGATAGTTTATGGTAGAGAAATTAACATTCAATTCACGGGCAACAGCTCTGGTGGACATTCCTGCAGTCAGCATGCCAATTGCACACTCCCTCAAAACTTGCAACATCTGTGACATTGTGTTGTTTGATAAAACTGCACATTTTAAAGTGGCCTTTTATTGTGGCCAGCCTAAGGCACACCTGTGCAATAATCATGCTGTCTAATCCGCATCTTGATATGCCACACCTGTGAGGTGGATGGATTATCTCGGCAAAGGAGAAGTGCTCACTGACACAGATTAAGGCAGATTTGGAAACAATATTTGAGAGAAATAGGCCTTTTGTGTACATAGAAAAAGTTTTAGATCTTTGAGTCCAGCTCATGAAAAATGGGGTCAAAAACAAAAATGTTGCATTTATAATTTTGTTCAGTATATATATATATATATATATATATATATATATATTATATACACTTAGAATGAAATGTTATATATATATATATATATATACACATACACACACACACACATATACTTTCATTTCAAAGGTATAATTACATTATTTTTATTTTATTAATTATAAAGTTGGGGTATCTGCCTGACAACGCAGTGAATCTGTTAAGCCAATTGTGTCATCGCAAACACATGACGTGGATGGGCGCGATTTGCTGCTATTTACTGCTTCGGTTGTCAGGGCAGCATGAGTGAGTATGAGTGAATTGGGCCCGGGGGGGAGGCCCAATTGTTAGGGCATGCTATGTCACCCTATGATGTTAAAACTCTCTTTTTGTACGACGACATAGCACGGAAGAGGGTTTAATGAGGATTATTGCTATCAAAATTCTTCACACTTTTTCTTACATATGGATATTGAAAGTTAAAATAGTATGAATACATTTGAGAACACACCTTGTTTGTGTATCAATTACTTAAAGGGGCACCTTACTTCCCAAATACAAGGAAAAAAAAACACTATTTAAGAGAGGACCCACTATTAACATATAAAGCATTTCGGCAAGCTAAAGTGCTTTAGGGGTTCAGAAATTCCCTTTGAGGAGTTTATCTTTATCATTAGATTGCAGTCTCACATCATAAATGAGAAAAGGGACCGTGTTCCACTAAATAATTTTTTAGCACTTTTGGTTACGTGTTTCTATAGCAACTGTAGCCAAATGGTACAATTTTATTGAGTACTGTACCTGCTATTTATAATGTGTTTGGTCTCATTCTTTATTTCTATCAATAGACAATATATATTCTCTCACTTCCCTGTTTCATTCCATATTTAGCAAAAAGTTATAGATTTAACAAATTACTATTTAATGAATTACTTGAAATGGTTACACCAACCAAAAACCAGTATTTTCGCAAAACACTGGTTTTGGTTTTAGTAAAGCTTAATTCTCGGTGATTCAATGTAATCATAGCTCTGTATAATGGCTATCACTAAACAAATCTATTTTAATTATTTAATCTATAGCACTACTGCAATAATTGCTGCATATTGTTAAATTCCCTTCTATTCTTTTCTAACCTAAGAGAGATAAGTACAGACAGAGTCACCTGGGCAATGTTTGACAATTAATAATAAGACTAATATGTGCAAAATGCTAGCATGTATTGTGTAATTCACACAGTTTGCTGTTGATTACAGAATTTTCTTGGATAAAATTGAAAGCTGAAAGACCCAATTTAATGTTAAGCATTGCATGAAAGTCTTTATCAAAATAGGTGAATGTCATTTTTTTTAAATGGGTCTTGTTAGAAAAGATGCATTAGTATTCATCATGAACCTCTCCTTTGTATATTCTGTGACCTTGACA